GTCCCCCCGGCTCTCCTCACCTGGCCCCTCTCTTTCTTCATTTCTGAGGTGAGGGTGGGGGGACTTCAAAACTATTTTAAAATAAGGTTTTTTAAGGCTCCTTTGTCTCTTACAAAAGTACCACATGCTCAGGGTAGGAATTTTGGACAGTGACAAAAATATTTTTAAAAAAATGGAAATTCTGGCCCGTCCGGTGTCGACCCACGAACAAAGAGGTCGCTGGTTCAATTCCAGGTTGGGGCACATGGCCAGGTTGCAGGCGCGATCCCCAGTAGGGGGCGTGCAGGAGGCAGCCGACTGATGTTTCTCTCTCATTATTGATGTTTCTATCTCTCTATTCTTCTCCCCTTTCTCTCTCTAAAACCAATCTAAACATAATTAAAAAAAATAAAATAAAAATGGAAATTCTGAGGCAGGAGGGGGTGGTGGCTAAGCGGCAGCTGTGGGTCTGGTGGCCGTGGCTCGGTGGCAGCTTCATCTCTATCTGTAGCGACGTCTCCCCCACAGCCTCACTTCTCGTCTCTCCAACGGGGCAGGGTTCGCCTGCCTCCCAGGGCTGATGCAAAGACTGCTGAGTTCACGCACATTTTAAAGGGTTTAGCATAGTTTCTGGCCAAATTACAGCTCAATCACGGTATCTTATCTTTTGAAGATCTCACCTGTACCCACTCATTAGACGAGCAAAAGCCTAAATCTGATGACATTCTGTTGGTAAGGATGTGGCTGTACAGAAACTTGCGAGGACGTAAACTGGTGAAACCACCAAGGTTGCCACGTGTGGTCAAACTGAAGATGCCCGTGGCCTTGGGCTCAGTGATGCCACTCCCAGATGCCAGCCCTGGAGGATTCTCGTGGGGGCCGGGTGTTTATGGTAGCCCTGCTTGGAGTGGCGACAGACAGGCACGCTCATTGTTCCGAAAATGGAAGAAATACGCTGTGAGTCATGCGATCGGTACTAGCAGCAGGTCAAACGAATGAGATGTGTGCAGTGGTTATTTTTTGTTTTTTTAAATATATTTTTTTATTGATTTCAGAGAGGAAGGGAGAGGGAGAGAGAGAGAGAGAAACATCAATGACGAGAGAGAATCATGGATCGGCTGCCTCCTGCACGCCCCACACTGGGGATCCAGCCCGCAACCCAGGCATGTGCCCTGACTAGGAATGGAACCCTGACTTCCTGGTTCACAGGTCGACGCTCAACCTCTGAGCCACGCCAGCTGGGCAGTTCTGCTTGTTTTTTTTTTTTGTTTTGTTTTTTTAAAAATATATTTTATTGATTTTTTTACAGAGAGGAAGGGAGAGGGATAGAGAGTTAGAAACATCCCTGAGAGAGAAACATCCATCAGCTGCCTCCTGCACAACCCCTACTGGGGATGTGCCCGCAACCAAGGTACACGCCCTTGGCCGGAATCAAACCTGGGACTCTAGCCACTGAGCAAAACAGGTCAGGGCCTTGAAGGTATTATAAACCAGGCACACAGTAGGTGCACTATTATGTTAGGCATCTCTCCCTCCACATAGCCTGTGAATTCCCCCAGGGGCTTGCCTGAGGCTGGGGGCTCATTCTCGTTGCTAGAATTGGTCCGGTGTGACCAGTGCTGATGGAGGCATTTGGGCTGTTCCCTGGGCTGTATGAGTAGCAGGGCCAGGCCCTTTCTCCCAGTGGACCCGTTCCCCTCCCTCCCTCCAGCACGTGCCCAGCACTGGAGTTGCTGGATCAGGCTAATGCGTTGGCCTCGCATTCAGTTTCTCAAACTTCGCAGTGTTTCTGACGGGTTTTCAGTCTGAGTGATGGGTGCCCATCGCCCCCTCGGTCCCCTCGCACCAGTGCCTGGGCGTGGCCCCCCAGCTCCAGGCCTGGCAGGCGTAGGGCTCCCTCCCTCCGCAGCTGAAAGGCCTCCGCGGAGGAGGGGAGCTGGAAGCCCTGGGACTGGAGCTCTGAGCCCACCCAGGGCTGGGGCTCATGAAGGCCCTGCACACCTGCTGAGGTGGAGGGGCTCACGGAGGATGTGGTGGGAGGCGCTCCTGGGTTCCTGCCACAATGACAGAGCCAGAGACCACGCGCCCGCGGCGGGGGCAGGAAGTGCCCCGTGGGCCACCAGGCTGCAGAGAGAGGAGCAGGCCTCCCTGCCCTGCGTGTGAGGCCAGGTCCCCTCTCCCTCATGCTGCGTCTCCCTAAAACACAGCAGCCAGGCTGGCAGCATCACGGGCGTGGCTGCCACAGCGGGGATGCGGTGGGACAGAAGGAAGGCCTTCTGGGGGCGGGGAGGGGGGAAGGGGTGTGGGAATAGGCTGAGATGAGAGACAGGTTCCAGTTGGGTGAATCCATCAGGTGGGTTGTCGGCTGATGGCAGGTTCAGTTATTGCTTAGTTAGTTAATCAGTTACTCAGCAAACCTGGAAACCCAGAGACCACCCACCGTGGTGGGGCGATAAGGAGGTGGGTGGCAGAGGCAGCTCAGGCCTAGCCCCAGGCTGCAGCCGTGCGTGACTGATGCGAATGGCCACCTTGCCCCTGGTGGTCCAGGTAGGAACAGAAGCCAGGGGTGGGATGGATTCTAGTAGTCAGGCCCCCTGGCCGGCTTGGAGGGTCACCTTGCTCCTTCTTTGGGGAAGGCTTCCTGAGGAGCTGGTGACGGGATGACTCTCAGCAGGAAGAGGGAGGGGAGGGCACTGCAGGCAGAGCAGGCAGCTTGGGCAAAGGCTGCAGGGAGGAAGGCTCGCACCTGCCCCACCAAAGCATGGCCTGGGGCAGAGCGCAGTTCCGAGGCTCAGGCGGGGGAGGAGCCTGGGGAGGGAGAGAGGCAGGGGTGCGGAGCAGGTGACCTAATTTGGGGGCTCAGCTGCAGAGCCTGCAGAGTTCAGCTGCACCCACTCTCCACCCCTCAGCCCCGCCCAAGATTAGTCCCCTCACCTGCTGCCTGGGCTGTCATTTCGTCGTCACTCGATAAATACTTACTGAGCCCTTCCTCTGCGCCAGGCACTGTTCCAGACCCTGGGAATAACGAGCTAGACAAGATCCTTGGGGAACTGCCAGGCCGCTGGGAGGGACAGATAGAAGCATGTAAACATCTAAGCAGGATACTATGAGGGGACAGGCTCCGAAGGAAATAAAACAGGGGGAGCCCTGACTGGTTGGCTCAGTGGATAGAGCGTCGGACTGCGGACTCAAGGGTCCCGGGTTCGATTCTGGTCAAGGGCATGTACCTTGGTTGCAGGCACATCCCCAGTAGGGGGCGTGCAGGAGGCAGCTGATCGATGTTTCTAACTCTCTATCCCTTTCCCTTACTCTCTGTAAAAAACCAATAAAATATTAAAAAAACAAAAACAATAACAACAACAACAAAAAACAGGGTGATTGAAGCAGAGGGACTGTGGTGAGGGGGGGCTGGTTGGAGAAGGCATTTATGAGAATGAGCCAGCCTTGGGGCATGGGAGGCGAGAGATCCAGGCAGAGGGCCCAGCAAGGCAGAGAGGGCTGTGGAGCTGGAAGCCCTGAGGAGCAGGAGCCAGCTAGTGTGGAGGGGGCTTGGAGAGGGAAGGAGGGGGGGGGGGGGTGCGAAGTCTCAGAGGCAGGAGGGGCGGGATCATGAGGGCCCTGTGGGCTGCAGCGAGCGGTATGGACGCTAAGTGAACGGGAAGCTACAGGGGAGTGACTGTGTAAATTACAAGTCGACTTAAAAAACAAAAACAACAGTTAGGATGGTATTACCACAGATCAGGCGGGAGGATGGTGGTCAGGATGGTGGCAGGGGAGGGAGAGAAGGAATGCGCTCTGTTGCTGCTGCTCACCAGGTTCCCATCTCTAAACACACGTCCCGGTCTCTCCTAGACACTGGGATTCTGACCCACCAAACATGGGTTTTTTTGGTTGGTTGCTTGTTCTGTTTGGTTTCTGCAACAGCCTCACCATTTTTAACTGGTTTTTGTTTTAAAATATACCTCAATATCTCGTATTTTCCACTTTCTTTTTGTTCGTTTTCAAAGTGTACAATATTTCTGGACTTAAAATTTTCCACTTAAATGTTAGGAAAAATGTCACATTTTCAAAAAATTCTGACTGGTGTTTGTTAAAATAAATTTGTAATATTGAAAAATTGAAAAATAAAGAAAGAAATGCTCTGTAGGTTGGAGAAAGAACCCACAGGGCTTATGCGTGGATTTGATGTGGGCGAGTGAAAGATGAAGCGAGGACCCCCCCGGCTCGGGGACGTAGACTGTGGTGGTTGCTGGGGAAGGCAGACAGGGCAGGCTCGGAGGTCAAGACCATGTGTTCTGCTTTGGACATTTTCAGTTTGCAATGCCTGTTAGACAACGGGCAGTTGGTTGTTGTATTCGTTTCCTGTTGCTATTGCAGCAAGTTATAATACATTTACTGGCTTCAAACAATACAAATTTATTACCTTTCCATTCTGAAGGTCAAAGTCTCCAAAATGGTCACAAAGTAGTCATGGGGATGTGAAGTACGACATAGGAATTATAATCAATAATATTGTAATAACTATGTGTGGTGCCAGGTGAATACTTGAAACATCAGGGAATCACTTTGTAAAAGTGCATGATTGTCTAACCACTATGCTGTCTACCGGAAACTAATCTATATATATAAAAGCCTAAGTGACCAGCCAACCAAACAACTGGTCACTATGATGCACATTGACCACCAGGGGGCAGACACTCAATGCAGAGGCTGCCCCCTGGTGGTCAGTATGCTCCCACAGCCAACCTCCCGCAGCCCCTCCCCCTGGCCGGCCAACCTCCTGCGGCCCGATCTCCGGGCAGGCCGAGGGACCCCACCTGTGCATGAATTTGTGCACTGGGCCTCTAGTACAGAATAACATTGAATGTAAACTGTAATTGAAAAATAACCTTTAGCCCTGGCCAGTGTGGTCAGTAGTTAGAGTATGGGCCTGTCCACTGAAGGGTCATGGGTTCGATTCCCAGTCCCTGTCGGGGTGTGTGTGGAGGCAACCAATTGATGTGTTATCACATCGATGTTTCTCTCTCTCTCTCTCCCTCCCTTTCCCTCTCTCCAAAAAAATCAATGGAAAAAATATCCTCCTGTGAGGATTAACAAAAAGTAAAATAAAAAATAAAAAAGACAAAGTTTCGGTCAAACATAAAAATTAAGACATTCCTCAAAATAAAACATTTTAAAAAAGAAGAAAAATAAACTTTAAATTTAAAAAATCCAGGATAATTTCCCCATATTAAGATCCTTAACTTAACCAAGTCCACAAAATCACTTTGACCGTGAAAAGTAGCATAGTCACAGGGTCTGGAGATTAGGACGCCGACATCTGGCGGGGAGGTGGGGCGGGGTGCGGTGGACATTATTCTGCTTTCTACGGCCAGGCTAGTCTGCCTTGTGCTGGAAGGATGCTAGGCCGCAGATGCCGAGGTGGGAATCTCAGCATTTGTGGGTGGATGGGAGCCATGGGGTGTCGGAGGGTCCCTGGGAAGCTGTGCTGGCAAGGACTCCGGTCAGAAGTCAGACAGCGAAGGGGCCAGCGAAGGGGCCTGGGGAGGAGTCATGAGAGAGGTCGGAGGAGGTCAAGGAGAAAGGGTGGCAGGAGGAGATTGTCACTTACGCCCAGGCTGCTGAGAGGGTGAGGAAGATGACGACAGAAAGGTGTCCATTGGCTCTGGCAACGTGGGGACCACTGGGGACCTTGGGTGGAAGTCAGCTTGGGGTGGGTTAAGCTGGCGGGGCACACACACAGGTGTAGATGTTGTTATTGTCCTATCAACCGTGGAGATGAGTGAAGGATGTATTTTACACTTTTTAAAATTTAATAAGGTTTTCATTTTTCACAATGTACAGCTGGCGGGACCTGGTGCTCATGCATCTTCGCCAGCAGCTGGGGCGTCCCCACCCTTGGTGTTTCTGGTACATGACTTGAGCTCTGTGCTTTGAAGCTAGGTTAGTACGTCCTTCCTAAGGAGCCCCTAGGGCTGTCCTGGCCCAGGAACTGGGGGTCTTCAGTCTCTCAGAGACAACAGCTGGGGTCGCAATAAGCCTATAGTTGGGAACTTCCTTACACAGCTTGTCGTGTGTTGCTTTGTCAAACAATACTGGGTTATTGAGCTTGCCCTGAACCTTGCCTTTGGACCACTCCTTCCTTCTGGCCTTGCCCCAGATTTGTTCACTGGGTCTTTGTCTTTCTTGGCCGACTTCTCAGCATCTTTCTTCTTGTTGTTGTCGTCCTTGGGTGGCGTAGAGGCACTTGAAGAGCAGCTGCTACCACTGCTGCCTCGATAAGGTGTCGGACAAAAGGGCCATTTTATAATTTTAAAAGATGTAGATGGATGGGAAGTGAGGAAGTGGAGACAGTACCTCCTTCCTGCCCTCCCCCCCAGCCCACTGTAGCCTCATTATGACCTTTCAAGCCATAGACTAATTTTGTTCTTCCCTTTTATAAAGTCGTCTGTGGCTTCCTACTGCTGTTCGCTGTTAGCAAGCCCAGCCTCAGGGCCGCTGCCCCAGCACTCCTCCCTCACAGCCCTGGGATGGGGAGCTCACTCCCTGTGTCAGGCAGCCCAGCTCTCCCCGGGCAGCAAGGGTAGTGAGAAGGTTCAGGCTGAGCTTGGGGTGAGTGGGTGGGTTGGGGGGCAAAGTTTGCTGTTGGGCATCACATCTGAGGCTTAATCAGGCTGAGGCGCCCACCCCCGACCTCTAATTCTGACTGACTCATAGGATAGGGGCACCAGCTGGGGCAGCCCTCTCTCCCCAGCAGCCACTGAAAAGCCGGCACTGCCCCAAGTATAACCAATGGTGCTGCTGGTGGCTTCCTGGGTCCCCCCACGGCCACCACCCACCGAAGAGCAGAGTCCTTTTTTACCACCACTATCACCCTCTCGACAGGGTGGGCCATTAACCATTTCCTGCCTGGAGCTGTGCAAAGGTAGAGGCTGAGCCATGGCTTCCACGTAATGTGGTGCCTGCCACCCTGGGCGGGGAGTCGGACGGCCTTTCCCGGGTCTGTGCCCGCTCCGTGGTTTTCCAGCCGCCCTACCCCGGGGGCCTGGGGTGGGCAGGCGGGG